GGTATCTGTTGAAAGAAGCGATAGATGGATGAATGTCTATCTACACGTTCATGCATCTGGTTCCTCTCAACTAGAAAGACTTGTTTCCATCACTTCCTCTGGAAGGCTTAGCTGGCCTTCAAGGCTGTGTTAGAACCAACTATACTGCTACAATAAACAGCTCTCAAGAATCCCTTAGTTTTAAGAACAAGGAGTTCAGAGTGCCTGGGGAGCTCAGTCAGTTGAGTATCTGACTCTCGGTGTCATGCGGCTCAGGTTATGATCCCACAGTTTGTGAGTTTGAGCCCCACATCCAGCTCTGCACTTGCAAGTGTGGAGCCTGCTTGAGATCCTCTCTCTCCCTCTCTCTGCCCCTCCCCTGCTCGCTCGCTCTCTCTCTGTCTCTCTTTCAGAATAAATAAATAAACTTAAAAAAAAAAAAGAACAAGAAACTCATTCTTTTTTCATATAGTCCTGGACTGTGGGTGGAGTGGCTCAGATGGACAGGGGCTCTGGCCAATTCCATAAATCAGGAATACAGGCTGACTGAGGCTGGCCATTGTTCAGTATCTGAGCATCTCAAGATATATTTTGCCCCCATTCTGTTCTTCCCCACCCTTCCTCTAGAGGATCCAGGAATATGGGGAGAAAAAATGTGAGTATGTAGACAGAGCAGACCATAAAACTTCAAGTGTCCCGGGAAATACATGTTTTTAGGGTAAAATGAAATATAGCCCTTTACTGTTTCCAAAAAGGCTTTCACATTCATGACCTCACTTGATCTTTTCGCTTGCCACTGACACGGCAGAGATCATATATTCCCTTGTTCCCTGTGCCTACGTTAGCTTCTCTCTTTTTCCTAATGACCAAGAAAACAGCCCATCCCTTTTTGGCTCCCTTCTGACTTTGCAATAGAGCAGGAGAAGAACACCAGAGCAGGAATCAGGAGAGCCAGCTGGCTAGCTGCCAGCTCACTCTGTGGTCTTAGGCAAGTCACTTCCCCTCTTTGGGTCTCACTTTCCCCAAACACAATGAGGAAGAGGTTGGGTAAAATGCCTTCTGGGGTGTCCAGCACCCCTCTTGCTCTGTGATCCTAGATAAGCAGCTGTCGCCCCTCTGCCCTGACCTCACCACCCACCTCAGCCCTGCAGGAGATCCAGCGTGGGCCCTTGCAGCCTGGGCCAGGGAGAAAGCGGTGAGGCCAGATAGCGAGGCAGGGGATTGGAGTGAGCCCTGGCCCCGTCATCCCGTCACCTTGGGAAGTGGGTGTGTGCTTCTGAACCTTAGTCTTCTCTCTTGTAAGTGAAAATCCGCCATCTGCCCCACAGTGCTACTGGGAATATCAAGTGAGGTCATGCATGTGAAAGCCTTTTTGGAAACAGTAAAGGGCTGTATTTCATCTTACCCTACAAACATGTATTTCCCAGAACACTTGATGTTTTCTCATCTAACATGTCTATATAACCACATTTTTCTCCCCATATTCTGGGAGCTTCCAGAGGAAGGGTGGGGAATAACAGAATGGGGGCAAAAGAGATCTTGAGATACTCACCTCAGGCCAGCACACCCACCTCTCCTTCCTGGGCACCTGGCAAGACACCTGGGCTGGTAAATGAGGCCATGAGACCAGTCTAGCCAACAAAATGGTGGCAGGATGGTGACACGCGTCACTTCTGGGCCATGGAATTTGAGGGCCGTTGTGCTGGGACGACTTTGGATGTCACATGTAGAGATGGTGGTGTCAGAGGACAGAGGGAGTCCGGCTCCCTGAGTCTTGAGTGCTCACATAATCAATCACCTAAGGTAGGACACTTTTGAGAATGAAGGAGAAGGGCCAATGTCATTAGGATCGGATAGCAGGCGTAAACCAACATGGCCCCAGGCAACCTGCATACGTGGTCGTCCGACATGAGTCACAGGGTAGAGGGGAGTCCCTGTCCTCCTGCACTGGACTCAGAGCAGACGATTTGTGTTATACTGTGCCACTGAATGCTTGAGGCTCGTCTACCGTGACAGTCAGTGAATACTTACCCTGATTAATACATTCATACCATCAACTTCAGTTTTCACAAACATTCTGTGAGGCAGACATTACTTCCCCCAGATGACACAAAACCAACAGGAGGTTTAGTCAACTTGCCCAAGATCTTGTGCCAAGATCACACAGCTAGGGTGAAGCTCAGCTTTGCCTGATTCCAAAGCTCACGCTCTTTTTTCCAATCCATGCCGTTGCCTTCCTTTCAGCAGAGCTAGACTCCCCAACTCCCAACAGACCCATAGAGGCCATGGTTTGGAAGTGACATGTCTTTACCCCCACCCCCTAGAGCCCCCAAGAACACAGCTCCCTTGGCTTCTCCCTCCCTTGTCTCTGAAGGGAAGTACCCATATTTCATTTTTAAAAAAAGAAAGAAAAAGATCAAACACCCTCCACCGGTGACTTTAACTTATTTATGGGTTAGATTTTTTTTTTTTTCCCCTGGATCATTTCCTTTCATTCCTGCAAGAACTCCTTGCCTGCAATCCTCCCAAGTTATTAATAAAAGAAGTCAAACGGTAGCGAGTGCAGGGGAACGTTCTTGGCTCCTGCTGATGTGTTTAGTTTGTGCTGGAAGCAGATGTTTTCACCCGGATCACAGACACTTGCCAGGCCTTCCACATCTGCCCTGTTCTCCGACAAGGACAAAAGGAATTCAGAAGACAAAGTCTATTCCAGGCCAAATAAGAGAGAACGGAGGATAAGGATTGCCACTCACGTCACGTATGATACACACACAATGTCTACGGCTCTGTGCAGGATGCTAAGGACCCCAGGGTGGGCAGGCCAGCCCCAGACGGTCACCCGATTGCCTGGTCGAGATAGTCCAGAAATTTCTGACGTGGGCACGGTAGATGGCTGCTCAGGCCCACGGTGTGTCGCTCACCGTTCACAGCGCGGGCTAAGTCATTTTCGGTCTCTTCTGCCATTTTTTTTAGGAGTTCTGAATTCAACAAAACAAAACAGAACTTAGTGGAGACGTCTGGAATATATATCTAGGCTGAGGACACTTCACAGATCTTGTGAGTGAAGATTCCGGCCCCCGAAGGTAAAAACTAAGCAAGTAACACTCCTCAAGGTACTTAGTCGAGGCCAGGACGGTCTCTCATCCCCTTGACCCCACCTCCAGTTAAGGGGCCAGTTAACACGCCGGATGAATTTTTCCCTGGTGTCTGAGTAGATGGCTCTCTCCCCCAGCAAAACCAAACTGAAGCTTCCTCTCCCCATGACCATCTTCCATTCACCCTTCCTGAGCAGGAGGAAATCCTGGGACTGAGCCCAGCTGGGTCAAGAGGACCCAAGGGCCCAGCAGCCGAGGCAGAAGGCGGGTTGCCATGAGCTTCCGGAACAAGGCAGGAACAGTGAAACTCAAGAGCCAGGCAGTATCCATGGGGAGCCCGCTGAAGGGAGAACCCAGGCCCAGGGCAAGTGGGCAGGCGCTGGGGACCCCAGCAGAGCAGGGGTGGGAGAGGAAGGAAGGCTTTTGACGACAGTCACCTGCCCTGGCCAAACCGTAGCTGCTTTTTTTCGGGGAAGAGGTTTTCTGCTTTGTTGACTTCAAAAGGTGGCTGTGAGAATCAAATGAGACAATCAAGAGGAATGGCCGGGTGGCCGGTAGGTCTGTCCAAGCTCTACGGTAATTTTGTAAGTATTTGCGTGTTTCTGGGGACGTGCACCCAGGCCTCAGTCACTGGACCCCGGCATGACCGCACATGTGCGCACATGGGTTTCTGTTCGGTTCTGGAGGGACTTCGGACTGGCAAGGGTCTGAGGGCACAGGCCTGCACTCCCGTGACGTTGCAGACTTGTCTCCGTGGAGGGGCACAGGCCCAGGCAGCCCTCCCTTGGGTCTTGGCTGGTAGCGGCCCCGAGGGGTGAGGCCGTGTGCCCAGCGTTTCTCTCTGGGGCCGGGTCTGGCTCGTGGCCCCGACCCACCCCCCACCCCAGGAGCTGGTTCATTAGCATGCGGCCCCGTGGGGTCCCGTGATGGGGGCCACACAATGAGGCAGTCATGCTGGTGCCGCTGGCCTCTGGGTTCCAGGCCAAGGTCTGCTCTTGTCACTGTGGGCCGCATTCATTCCAAAGGACACACAGCCCCCCTGTCGCCCCCAACCCCCCGCCTCCGGAGCCCGCCCTGGGTAGGGAAGGCTCCAGCCCAGTCTTACCCTGGGGGCAGCTGAGGGGCTGTGCCACGCGTCCTCATCAAACATTGCTCAGATTCTTGGGGGAGGAGGGGAGAGCACGCTGGAGGCCTTGCCTCCACCCCTCTGGGTTTGCTCACTTCCTGACTCTTGATTCTGCCAGTGCCACCCAAGGCTGGCCTGTCGCCCTGGGCAGATAAGAAATAGCTCAGGGACAACAGTGCCCTTTCGGCCAGGTTCCGCTTTCTCCAGAGACCGCCGGTGTAGCGAAGGGACAGACGGTGGGAGTCCCAGATTTGCTGCCGACCCACTGGGCGACGTCGGCCCAACTGCTTGGTCTCTCTGAGCCTCAGTGTCCCCGTTTGTAATGTGAGGGTATTTATTTCTGCCTCTTACGACTGTTGTGAAAATTAAATCCAACAAAGTGTGCAAAGCATCACCACGCCTGGTGCGGAGTCGGTGCCGGTAAGGGATTGTGGAATTGACTCGATGAGGCGACCTCGGGCAGGGCATTTCATCTCTCTGGCTTGCTGTCCACCTGGGAAGTGAGGTGACCACCCCGACCGCCCATCCCCAGGGGTGCTGTGGATGCAGCTGAAGGGACAGACGTGGAAACATTTTATGCACCAGAACCCCATTTTGGCTTTGTTCTATCCTCTGGGGTGCCAAGCAGTTGCCGATACGATCTCAGAGCCCTTGGCATTCACTACCCGTGGGTGGGGGTGGGAGTGGGGATGGGAGGCCAGGGATGTGCCTCATGCCAAGGGCCACGCCAAACACGCGGTATAGACCTCAGCAGTTCCGACGGTCCCATCCGGTGGGTCTTCCCCTCAAAGTGCAATTTCCCAGGTTCATTGAACCCGCACAGACCCTTTCATGCATGTGTTTCTGATTCTGATTTCATGCGCTGACATCACTGAAACGGTATGCCCGGGGTTAGTCTCATGACCACCGAGCTGGGAGCGCAGGAATTTTGGTGCCAGAAAAATTAGATAATGTGGGACATACTGACTTTGCTCTCCAGTTTCCAAATCCTCCTGGGACACTTCTGAGCCTGCCGGAGGCTGTGGTCCTTGTCACTCACGTACAGGGAGGATCGGGCCGCCGTCCCGGTCACCAGGTACCTGGGCTCCCACCTGCACTGCCTCCTCGTCCAGGAAGCAGCCAGGACTTCACGGCTGGGGTCTCTGTCCGCGAAGCCCTTCCAAGACCTCTGGGTGCTGCTTACATAGTCTTCCTGCCAATCCTGGGACAACCCTGGGATCAGGGAGGGTGTTAGGGGCATTTGGAGGCATAATGTCAGGTCAGGAGTCCCCGCAACCCTGCATCTGAGACCCGGCCTTGCTCCTTTGGGGATTTTCAGGGGGACGTTGGTCTCTTCTCTCTGTCACAGCATCCCAGTGGGGTTGCTCCTAGCGCTTAGCCCAGGCCGGGTGTCCCCTAGGTGGCATGGTTACATGCATTTACCAATGGGTTTTTATTTTTGCATGCACGGCACCCAGCACACTGTCTAGAGGTCATAGCTGTGCTTGTGTCTAGGTCAGTCCGGTCTGTACTGAGCACCTGTTCTAGACTCTGCAGGCACCACCTGGGGAAGAAGAAGCCGCCTGTTGTTGACCAGTAGGAGCAAGAGGGTGATGTGTGTTTACTCTGCTGACCCTAAAGTAAAACAGACCCAGGGCCAGAGCCATTGGCTGAGAGAGGGCAGCACTGGGTGCAGAGTGCTGAGTGGGAAGCAGGCAGACTATACCCGTCAGAGAGAGGACTTCAGAGAAGCGGGAAAGTCTAGGGTGAAAAGGAATTCCCAGCCAGAGGTAGAGGAAGGACAGCCTCAAAACACAGGTCCTTGGTGACTGTCTGTCCAGCTCACATTCCACCTGTGTCCGGGATGTCCCAGGACACCCCTCATCCTCCAAGTCTCAGTCTGGACAAAGCTGTGTCTGACTCCTGCCCTCGGCAGCCTTGGAAGCCCCAGATGATCCCAGAAGCCCCTCTGCTATGACACTCGCGACCTTGTATTGCTATTATCTCCCTCTGTCTTCCCAGGGGTGAGTGTTCTTCATGCTGGATGCCGAGGACGGACCCTCAAAGCTGGTAAGGAAGGGCCCCTCCCGAGTGGGAGGTGGGGATTGAATGGCACAGAGATGGGAAAGTGAGGCAGGCAGCCTCGTGATGGGGGCAGGCCATGGACAACAGTATAGAGGGTATAGTTGGGGAGTGTGTGTGTGTGTGTGTGTGTGTGTGTAATTTATTCATAGTGAGAGATAAGGCTGGAAGTATTCGGGCCAGATTGTGGGCGTCTTGAAGCTCAAACTTGGGAGGCTGGGCTTTTCCCCAGAAGTATCTGAATCAGCTTAGCATCCTTTACAAACACCTACTCACCATGTCTCCCTCCCTCCCTCCTTTCCTGCTTCTCTTCCACCCTTTCTCCATTTCTTCTTTCCTCCCTTCCACCAATATTTATTGAGGTTGCTACGTACAGACTATTCATTTGCAGATTAACCAGCTAAAAGCCTTAGGCTCAAAACGTTCACAGTCTAAAGGAGAAAATACACAAAAACAAGTAAGACGGTGTGCCACATTCTGTCATAGAAGTAGATCTGGTGGCAGCTCAGAGGAAAGTGTGTAACCTCAGCCAGGTGGGGCATGAGTAATCCAGAAGGCTTCCTGGAGGAGGCCATGTCTAAGCTGAGACGGCAATAGTTGAGTTTTCAGCAGGCAGAGAGGAGACGCGGGGGAGCATTCCAGGCACAGCCGGATGAGTGTGCAGAGGCACAGGAGGGTGGGAGCAGGGAGTCGGGGTTACAATGACACACGGAGCCCGGGTGCGGGAGGGGGAGACCGACGAGACGTGGAAGGCGGACGGGCCGCAGCCTGAGGGACCTCGTGTGCCAGGCTAGTGAGCCGCGGGGACCGGGAGCCGCGTCAGGGCCTCAGGCGGAGCGGGTGATGCGGCTTCTCCTTGACCCCAGCCCAGCGTGGCTGCTGTGTGGGAATCGGGAGACCGGATATCTCGGTGGCCCAAGTGTGTGCTGCTGGTGGCAGGCCTGCGGGTGGTGGCATGCCCGTGGACGGGAGGGTGGAAATGGCCACGTGGAAAGGACCGAATGAAACGCACGGGCTGGGGGAGGAGGGGAGCAGCCGGAGCTCTGGCACACGCTGGGGGGTGCGCTGCCACAGCCCAGAATGAGCCCGAGGAGGGGGAGCGGACCACCCCCGGGTGGCCCCCACCCCCTCCCCCCCCACCCACGCGACAGAAGCGGGGCTACTGTCGCATGTCAGCTCCATATCACTCTTCCGGGGCCAGGATGAGCCGATTCTTCTGACAAGGTTTCATGTCTGAGCCTGGTCCATCTTTGGGGACAGGGCTATTGGACCATTTGTTCATATCTATTTGGGACCCCTTGGCCCTCGGAGGCCTCCCCCCCAGGGGGCTGCATCACAGGCAGGGGGTGATCGCACACCTGTGTGTGTTGGGCTCCGAGTGGCCGTGAGGCTCTCATGTCCGGCGTCTCCAGCCAGACCCCTAGCCATGAGGGCAGAGGGCCGCCCTGGGATCTTGCACTTGGATGGGCAGGGGCCTCAGATTCCCTCCGGCACCCACCCTCCACTTGACCGGTGCAATCAAGGAAGCCTTCCTTCACGAGGTGCTGTGGAAGCTGAGATTGGGGAGTGGGGGACACTTCTCAGCAGGGAAGGAAGGAGGAACAGCGGTGGCTCCGGTAAGGAAGTTGGTCTTATTGCATGAAAGTAGAAAGAGGGTCCGCGGCTTTTCCCACCTGTCAACACTGGCTGGGGGGTGGGACAAAGCCAGGAGGAAAAAGGTCCTTGCCCAGCCCTTCTCTCTTCTTAGGGAGTCACCACAGAAGTGGGGTGCCCACAGAAGTGGGGAGCTCAGAGGTGGAGAGACTGCGGTGGCTGGGGCAGTCAGGGAAGGCTTCCTGGGGGAGAGGGGCTGGGAAGGGGAGGGAAAGGCTGTCCGGGCCTTGCAGAGCAGCAGAGAACAGGGCCCAAGCCTTCCACGATCCGTGAGCCCTGCGAGGTGGCCTTGGTGGCCAGGCTGAGGGCTTGCATGTACCCAGGGAGCCAAGGTCGGCCTCTCCATCCCCGGCTTTGTATTTCCAGCTCTGTGGTTTCCTAATTTATTTGGCTTGAAATTTGTGTCAAACTTTTTTTTCCAGGTGTAATTGAAACCAACCCTCTAAATGCTTGTTCATTCCTGGGGGAAATTAAAGGTGATTTCAAGCAGGAAGATCACAGATTTCAGAAAAAGGGCCTGGGGGGCTGCACTGTGGACTGGACGGCTGGGCTGCTGGAGCCCCGTTCGGGGAGATTAGCTGCAGCCGATTGCACTTTCCGGAGGGAGGGCCGGCCTCGTGGGGAGACCCCTGCCCTCCTGGCCCCCCTCCACTCGGCAGAGGTAAGGAGGCCCGCCAGCTTCAGGGCTTGCTGCCCGCGGCCCCCCACCCCAGAAAGAGCCAAGGTGGAGTCAGGGATCAGAGCAGGCACCCAGCTCAGACCGGGCTCCCTGAAAGCCCCCCCAGCCTGTGTGGGGGGGTGGGGGGAGCCTGGGCCAGGAGGGCAGACAAGGGAGGAGGCCCAGCGAAAAGCCCCCTGGTAGCCTCATTCAGGTGCTGGGCGACCTCGGACCAGTCTTCTCTAAACCTCTGTGCCTCAGTTTCCTCAGCTGTACAGAAAAAATGGAACCGGTACCCGAGAGCTGCGGGGCGGGTTGCATTAAATGCGGTGACGCCCGTGACGCCCTCAGGGTCCGGACCATTCGGGGAACAACAGATACTGATGGAATGTGAATTGGCATCCCAGCAGCTGAGGGAAAGAGCCCTTGATTAAACACAGGGACTCGGCCAGGACACTCATTTTCCGTAGAAGGTGAGGGCAGGCTCCACACGCGCCTTAGAAACAAAAGCTAACTTTTCCTCCCTTTCTGGCCCGGGTGGGGGGGGGGAAACATATTTTAAAAGGCTGCAACCTTTCCTGCATGCCGGGCACTGTGTGGGCCACACAAATGCCGAGCATTTGCTACTCACGACACAAACGAGGACCGGTTGTCATCGCTCCTGTGTTACAGACAAGAAAACTAAGATTCGGAAAAGCTGTGTTATTTGTTCCAGGGCACAGGCCAAGGGGTGGCAGTGCCTGTCCCAGACCCTCGTTCCTGGCTGGCCTGGGAGGCTCGGGGATGTGTGGTCCTGACCCTCTGGCTCCGCACATGCCGGCAGCAGTGAGCTCGGCACCACCTAAAGGGATCCTCTGGCCCGAACGCCCCACGGAAAGGTGCTTCTGACCCCCAACCAACCTCGGCCTGCCCCTCTTGCCTCACCCCTCCTGGAGCCAGGCGTCCAGCATCAACTTCCCCAGCCACGGTCCATCCTCCCCGCCTCCCGGCGGGCTCCTCTCAGATGGTTTTGGACGACATCTGTTTCTCCCAAGCCTGGAACCGTCCTCTGCGGGGACCACACGAGGAGCAGGGGCAGCAGCTCAGTGGCCCGGACCTCAGAACCGGGCGGGATGTTGGTTTCTTGGATCTGAAAGGCCGTGTGTGATTTCGGCATGCCTTCAGTGTCTTTAGGGCGGAAGTCCGGAAGCTGCAGGAAAGAAGGTTCCAGCTTGTCACAGAGGAGGCTTTTCCGGGGTCAGGGGGCTTGGATACGAAATTGGCTTCCTCGGGAGGAAGTGAGCTCTCTGCTGCCGGAGGTGTGCAAGCAGAAACTGGGCAGTCCCTTGGCAAGAGTGCCACAAAGGGGACTTGGGATTCAGCTGGGGGGTAACGGTGGTTGTCCCCCAGCCCCAGGGGACTCCGTTCCACCGGGATCGCATCATGGAGTCTCTTGCTCGCTCCTGGCCTGAAGCCCACGTGGGACTGTGCTCAGGCCTTTTTCTATTTGCCACGGGTTATTTCTGCGGAAACTCCCTCCAAGACCACGGTCTGTGCTCTGACAGGCTGCAGCCAGGCTGGGAGGAGGAACACTTGGGCTGCTAATCTCATCCAGCTGCCCCCACCGGCTCCCCAGTCTTGGTGCCTGTCCTCTCTCTGTGGGAAAGCCTCATCTGTCAAGCACATGAATATGAACTTGGACTGAAAATACACTAAAGCTTCCTGCTTTCCCCGAAGGCCCTGCGTGCCCATGAGAGCGCCTCCAGCTTGGTGCCTGGACCCAAGTCCGAGCTTCTCACCTCTGCATTTTCTCCCCACGTGACCTTTGCCATGGGACTTAATCTCGCCGAACTCCACCTTCCTCTTCATCCCTAGAAAGGCTAAGTGATCTCAGGTAGGGGTGCTCAAGCTGCGGGAACACCTGAATTTTCTGGGGAGTCTTGTTAAAATGCTGACCCAGCAAATCTTGGGTGCGGACCGAGGAGTCTGTATTTGTACCAAGCCCCCTGGTGATGTCCATACTGCTGGCCAGGGAGTATCTGGGGTCCTTGGACAGGGACGGGGAAGAAGGTAGAGGAGAGGTTAAGAGCTGAGGGTCTGAACCACTGCACCTACCTATTAGCCATGTGACCTTGGAAAAACTCACTAAATTTACCATGCCTCAGTTTCCCCACTTGTGAAGCAGAGATCGTTCTTAGTAACTAACCCCATAAGGTTTTTGTCAAGATTAAATAAGTTAACGCCGCCCCACAGGTAGTCCTGCTGATCCCCCCTCCTTCTTCCCTCTTCCCATTCCTTTCTCACAGCTCCCAACACCTCTGCACACTCCTGAAATATCCTTGCATCCTAGATTGGAGTTCTGGAAGTATGACCACTGAGCCCAGAGCAGGGCATGGAGCTTGAGCAGAAGCATCCGCAGGGTAAGAGCAGAGCCTGTGAGGGGCAGAGGTGCTGAGCCGGGCGGAGGGGGAGGTCCGGGAGAGGCGGTAGCAGGGCCTGGGCCACTACCCTTGCCCAGGAAGATGGTCTGGCTGTCCGGAGCTTCCATAGATGAGCGGTACCGACCATGTCAGCTCCCACTGGTCCCCTCAATCGATCACTGAGTACCCAGTGGCGCCTGTCACTCTTCTCTGGCGCTTCTGACAGTCGCCAGGATGGAGCCGAGGTTCCGATCGGTCCCGGACCACACGGTGTCGGGTCACGGGGGCAGCTTGTGTCCACACCACAGTGTGACACGGAGCTGGGACAACAGACCGGGTGTGTGTGCACATCCTTGCCATATGGTCGTATGACCCTTCCTTGTACACTGTCTTTCGTACACGGCACCCAGGACAGAGAGGAAAAAAGGTGCTCCTGACCTCACCGTCTTCCCAATGGGATAGGTATGATGGAAACAGAAACAGATCATTTGATCACACTAGGACAAGGGTGGCGAAGCTTTTCCTGTAAAGGAAATTTTAGCTTTGGGGGCCATATGGTCTCTGAAGGAACTACTCAACTCTGGCACTGCAGCGTCAAAACAGCTGTAGAGACTATAGGCAAAAAAGCGAGCATGTCTATGTCCCAATAAAACTTTATTTGCAAAACTAGGCAGTGGGCCAGATTTGGCCCTTGGGCAGTAGTTTGAGGGCCCCTGATCTAGGACCTAGGTTATATTGTAAGTCATTTGGAAACACAAGGAAGGAGGGATTAACCACCACTGGGGTGTTGATGAGGTGCCGGAAAGCCTTCAAGGAAGGAACGACAAGATGTTCAATAGGCAGAAACTGAGGGGAAAAAGAGAGAGGGGGGAAGGAAGGAATTCCAAGCCCAGAAAATAGCTTGAGGAAAAGACGGCCAGCATGAAATCGCAGGTGTATTCGGGACGCGGAATAATCTAGTTCGCGTGGTCCTTCACACGAGGAGGGAGAACCGGGGCCTGCGACTCTAGCACCCCAGATCATAGAGACCTCGGAGGCCAGGAGAAGTTTGCAGTTTATTCAGTAGCAACAGGGAGCCAGTGGGGACTCACAGGAAGTTGTCTGCGGAGAGGTGTTGACATGATTACAGCCCCGCTTTGGAGCATCTGAACACATCTGGTGACAGTCCCATTCAGCAATGCCCTCTGTGCGCGCAGCATGGTCCAGTGACAAAGCGCTGGCCAGAGCCTGAGCCCTGCTACCTTCCCCTCTCTGGGCCTGTATAAGGCAAATGTCCCCACAGCATTGCACAGAGCCAGGAGTGCCTCGTGAGCCATCCCGGGGGACACAGAACCCTGTGACCCATATGTTCATGCACCCCTCCTATTGGGTCTTTTCTATTTATTGATGCACTGAGCGCCTACTGTTTACTAACAGGGCACCACATTGAAAGAGCACTACGCGAGGCTCTTTACATACATTACCTGATTTAAACCTTAAAACAATGCAGTTGGACAGTTATTTTTTTATGTGTTTTATAGGCAAGGATGTTGATAAAGGAGACACGCTGATTCAGTAAGTGCCTGCTGGGTGCAAGCTTCTCTGTCCTAGACAGGGAGGTGGTGGTGTTGTGGGAACAACCCCGGTTTTTCAGGTTCTTATCTTGGTTCCTCGTTTACTATTTCGGTTGGAGAAGACGTAAACTCTCTGACACTTTGCTTCCCCGTCCGCAAAATGGGAATACTGTGTTTACCTTAAGAATCAGAGGACAGGTGTTGATGCCTACAAAGGGCACGTTACGGCACCGGGTAGGCGCTCAACAAATGGATGCTGGATAAAGAAATGCATTGCAACCTCAGATCATGGTCTCTGCTCTAGCGACTTTGTAAACCTCTCACACATCCTTCCTAGAAGTTTCTGTTCAGGGGGAGATCTTTGGCTGACCCTGAGACCAGGGCAGAAGGCCTCACTTCCATGTGGTTACAATTGGCCCTTTGAGGGGCCAACACCCGAGGGGACAGAGCCGGCTTCCCCCACCTCCACATCAAGTGGTCCGATTAGAGCCAGCCACCAGAGTGAGGCATCCGGGGGCAGAGGCCGGGCAGTGATGGATAACCCCATCCAGGGACGCACACACAGGGCTATTTTGGGGCCTCCTGCCTGGGAGGCGGCCTCCTCGGGGCATGGGGGCCACTGACCCGGAAACAAATTAAAGGCACATCTGTTGGGAGGCCATTTCCAGCAATGGCTCCAAGCAGCCGCCTGCATTCCTGGAACAAGGGGGCTGTGTGTTTGGTGAGCCAGGCGCATACTGTCCGTGCCGAGAGGAGTGGGGGCTGCAGCCTCTGGCCAGGAAGGAGCAGCCGTGGGGGGTGTGAGGCCTCAACAGAAAGGAAGGGCTAAGGGAGTCTTGATCCTCTAAAGAGGGAGTTGTTTTGTTCTTGAGTGACTAAGGACACAAGACATCAGGATATTGGGTGTTGAGGACATCCCCACACTCAGATTGCCGTATCAGCACTCTCCACTTGAAGGAAACTGAGGAGGAGCTCTCTCCTCCAATCTCCTACTGACAATCGAAGCCTTTATGATCACACATAGACCATCCTGGTTGATATGCTACAAGGGCCAGGAATTCACTGCCCTCCAAACTGGATTCTAGGGCACCTTATTGATAATAAGATAACATTTTGTCTCTGGGGCCTCCATCCAGTGGCCTCAGTGTGTTTCTGAGGTACTACAGGTTTGTGTTCGGTAAGTATTCTATGGATGGATAGATGGATGGATGGATGGATGGATGAAGGATGTTGGATAGAGGAAGGAAGGAAGGAAGGAAGGAAGGAAGGAAGGAAGGAAGGAAGATTTTGGATAGATGAAGGATGGATGGATGGATGGGTGGATGGATGGATGGACGGATAAAGGAGATTGGATACATGAAGGACAGATGGACGGGTGGATGGAGGGATGGATGGATGGAGGGATGGATGATGAAGGAGGTTGGATACATGAAGGATGAGTGGAAGAATAAATAGACTGTACTGGATGAATAGACTGTGCTAGACACAGAGAATAAAAAGGAGAAGATAAAAAGACACCTAAGGCACAGGCCCGCTTTCAAGGCTCAGCATTCTGTCCACATAAAAA